GGTTAGGGATAGAGGTTTAGATAACAGAGTGATTGTATGAATTCAGGGCGCGAAGAATCACATGAAAATGAATAGGCTCATAGTAGCCCACACCGTAGTCTATGCTGATTTCCGCATTCGAGTTCAGATTTCCTATAGTATCAGATACTCATGTTGGTAGAGACTTTTTGTTAGCTCTAATATGCATAGAATGAAAAGGATATATAAGAAATAAAAGAGATATATATTAAGAGCGACAGAGACAAGCAGTGCCACTGATGTTATGTGGCGAACGAAGAAAAAGTGAACTTCGTGGGACTCGAATCCACACCCACACCCTATCCGGACAGATGTCCTAACCAGTTAGACTAGAAGAACATCTCAATCTTCGTTTATCGTTAATAAGTTACATCATTAACGCTAACACTTTTAAGTAATATTTTATACACAGTGAATTAAGTATTCAGCCATGCTTCCACAAACACGAACAAGAAACGTAACTTATTTTCTAATGATAGACCAGTCGTTGTCAATTACGTCGAATCCAAAAACAATCATCCTTAATAATGACTATTCAAGAATAAATCTTAGTGGAGGCAGTCGAGTACGAAAACATTTAGCGTAACAATCATTATTTTTCAACTTCAAAAGCTTTCTGACTCTACCCTAGGGAAAATGTTTGATGTTTCAGCGCCAGATCTTTGATAGATACAGTCAGGATCTTGCAAGGATTCGCTATTTTTTCCTGAGGAAACGACTAAATCCTGAAAGAAGTGTGTAGACACGGAAATTTAGGATCCTGGCAGGATTCGAATGAAGATTTTCAAGGATCCTGACAAGTTCATCATTGTTTTTGAATCAGGATTCAACCAGGAAATCGATGATTCCTGAAAGAAGTGTGTAGCCACGGAGTTTTATGATCCTATCAGGATTCAAAACAAGATTTCCTAGGATACTGACAGGATTCGAATGAATACTTTCAAGGGTGCTGACAAGTTCATCATTGTTTTTTAAATCAATATTGAGCCAGGAAATCAATGATTCCTTAAAGTAATGTGTAGCCACGAAAGTGTAGGATCCTTTCAGGATTTCAATAATTCAAAATTGTAAAAAAGAATTTCTGATGGTATCTTTCAGGATTTGATTGGGTGTTCTCGAAGATATTATCAAATTTCTTGACAAGATCTTTGTAGGATTTAACTAGATTTCATTGCGCATGCTATCAGTTTCTTGGTAGAATCTTTGCAGGATTTTCTAAATAGAATATAAGAGAAATGAACACATAGAGTATCGATCTCTAGACTTTCAGTTTACATACCGATCAGCTTACCGAGCTGGATGTGCCATGTCATTCTATATCACTTCAACGTTCAACATAGTAATTCTGACTAATGCAAATTTCTATTGGAATTTTATATAGATAGAAATTACTTCAAAAAATTCTGAAAATACAATATCATTTTACACATTTCTTTTAGTCGGTGAAATTTACTACTTTTTTAAATTTCAATTCTATTTAAAAATATACTCAGAATTTTTATTTTGGTTATGTTTAAAAATATACCAGGAGTTTTTAAAAATTTTAATTCGATTGAAAAAATACATTTGCAAATTTGTTTTACGAACACAATCAAAACTATAAGCAGTTTTCTCGAAAAATTTGCTGATGACTAAAATTAAAATTAAATATTTAACGAAAACATTTTCCGATGCGTAAATTCCAATTAACATCCTAATTTTATGATTTTCAATTTTTTTCCTGATTGTATTAAAAACTAACTCCTTGCTATAGTTAGAATCTCAAAACAACTTTTATACAAATTTCAAAGTGATTTAGAATATTTTTTTTCCAAGATTGTTAAGAATCGTTCTTTTTGCTTACGAAAACACCCAGATCAAAGTGAGGATAAAAATACCAGTAAATTCTTCAGTTGTCAGAATTATTTTGTGTTCTGAACAAAAAAGCCATGACATATTGAAGAATCCTTCAATTTATTTTGTTAAGATTTTGCTCAACATTTTTTATTGAAATTCTATTATGACCTACAGATTTCCAAATTTTGAAAGGCTCATGATCTTAACCAAGCTAAAAATGACACGAAAACGTTTCACTCATTCTTGCTACGTTCCTGATAGGAACCTGAAAATAAAATCTGAAATAGGCTATAGACACAAAACTCGAAAGATCTTAACTGGCTCTTTGTATTTTCTTATCAAGATCGTGGCCATACTTGTATCCTTTTTAAGCATTCGAAATACCTGATCTTGAGCGGTTCCTCTCAGGAACCTGATATAAGTTTGCCAGGATTTCTTAGTTGAGTATTCTGAATAATCATGTCCTATTCTTGGTATAATTCTCCTCTGATATAATTATAACTCCTGGCAGCATCCTTCTATCAAGATCCAGCACGGATTTTCACTTAAACGTAATGAAACTTTGACGAAATTCTCTTTATAATTTTTGTCAGGTTTCTGAATAGGATTACCAGTGTATCTTAGAAGGATCCTGTAAACTCAATTCAGAAAAAATCCAAACAAGAATCTAAACAAATTCTGGATGGAATCCTGAATCAAACCTGACAGGATCCTTGAGATTCATGATTATGAAGGATCCTTCAAGTCTATCCCAAGACATGAGCATGGTTGAGTGGACTAAGCAGTAACTTGTAAAGATCTTTGCTAAATCCTTACATTTTCTTATCAAGATTCTGATTAAGCTTGATATTGTGTTGTAAGGTTTGGAAACGTATACTCTTGAAAACATCTGAACAAAATCCTGATTGAAGCTTTCCAGGATTAGTCAGTTTTGCATTGTGACTGTTCTTATTATTTTCTTGTCAAGATCCTTGAATGATGTGCCTATCAATCCTAACAGGATCCTGATACAAAGATTTCACTAGGTCCTGAAGAGAACCTGATAAAATCTTGACAGAATACTTTCTCAAAACTTGAGAGGATCCTTGATAGGTTCTTGAGTAAATCCTGATAGGATCCTGCATTCTCAGTTCAGAAAATTATTTGAGCAGGAACCGGCAGAAATCCTCACTAGGATCTTGTTTCACCTTCAAAACAAATCCTGGAAACAAGAATTACTAGGATTCGAAACAGGATCCTAAATAAAACTTGACAAGATCCTGGGGATTCAGGGTCCTGAAAGATCCTTCCAGGGTTTCTCAAGGAATCAACAGCATTGAGACTAAGGTATAGACGAAAAAGGCTAACGGGAACTTATGAGTTTTCTAGCCTATTTTGGGCTATTTTTTTCAGTCTTTCGGAAACTTTTCGTGTGTAGAGACTTCCAAACGGAAGAAAGATACTTTTGCGTGTGATTTTATCATAAGAACTGAAATTGATTTTCCGTGAACTGTACATGAAACCATGAGATTAATCGGATTTGAAAGCTAAGTTTTGCAAAAATGAAATCCGGCTCCGTTTTTTCTCTCGAACGTTCAGCACCCTTTCAAGAAAAAAAACTGCTTTATGTATAGATCAGTTATAAATGCTGCGAATACTAAGCTTAAGGGAAAACTATGAATACATAGACAGTGATCAACAATCGGATAATGTGATGAAGAAATTAATCGTTTAATAACGATAAGTTGAAGCAATATTATATAGAAATGCTCCACAACGAACAAAATATAATAAAGCGGATAAATATAACTGAGTCGACTAAGAGAATCTTTTTATATTCATAATATTCTTTCTACAAGAGTTTATGACACACCAACTGAAGGGAGTGTTGACGTACCTGTGATACAATTTTCGACCCCCACTGTTACGGTGTAGTTTTAAATCTTTATTCACACGTTCGATAACCTACATTTTAACAATAATAAACAAGAACTGAACCAATAACAGGAACCGATATACTTGCATTCAATTATATCCAATGAGATCAACAATACATATCAATGTGTGAAGCACAATAGGAGAACAAAACATAGCGCTATCGAGATAGATCATGCCAATGATCTGTGTGCACGCACAGATCATAACACCCACCTATAGACCCTGATAGAGCAATTAACTCATTAATTGTTTAGTTAAAAAAAGAATTTCTTCATCACGCTCTGTGACCGCATCAGAAGACCGCACGCATCATCTCACAGACAGCGGCGCAAAAACTGCACACCCTGACAGGCTACGGGAGACATTTACGTGAAAATAAGTTCCATTGTATTTCGCATTTTAATCCGAGATATATTCGCTGACCACCTTTTTCATTTGAGTTTCATTCGACACGTATGTGTAATAGATTTTTCTCTCGACTCCTGTACCGTTATCAATTACTAATACTCTACTTCAGTAACAGCGATAACGCCCACAACCCCAACTACAACTGCCAACGTTAGCGCCGTGACAACCGCCACAAACGTGCCCCCACCAACAACTGGAAACGTAAAACCGGTGACAACAACCTCCAATGTGGTGGCAACAACAACTCCAATCGTCAACACTGCAACGACAACGTCCAATCTGGGACCAACAACACCTCCCATCGTCAACACTGCAACAACAACAGCAAATGTGGTACCAACGACGACTGGAAACATAAACACTGGAACCACGACCTCCAATCTGGTACGAACGACACCTCCCATCGTCAACACTGCAACAACAACAGCAAATGTGGTACCAACGACGACTGGAAACGTAAACACGGTGACAACAACCTCCCAAGTGGTGGCAACAACAACTCCAATCGTCAACACTGCAACAACGACATCCAATCTGGTCCGAACAACAACTCCAATCGTCAACACTGCAACAACGACGCCCAATCTGGTGGCAACAACAACTCCAATCGTCAACACTGCAACGACAACCTCCAATGTGGTCCCAACAACGCCTCCAATCGTCAACACTGCAACAACAACAGCAAATGTGGTACCAACGACGACTGGAAACGTGAACACGGTGGCAACAACCTCCAATGTGTTGCCAACAACACCTCCAATCGTCAACACTGCAACAACAACCTCCAATCTGGTCCCAACAACGCCTCCAATCGTCAACACTGCAACAACAACCGCCAATGTGGTGCCAACAACACCTCAAGTCGGAAGCACCGAAGCAACAACTACAAATGTCCCGACACCAAGAACTGTCAGCGTAAACGCGACCATTTTAGTTTCTGGAAGTACTACTGGTGTGCCACGTGAGTAGCTTTGAGGAGAGAAAATTTTTATTAGAAGTTGTGTTTACTAGCTTGCACAACACCAATTGAAATGACTCGTTCAAACGATTCCTATTTTTCATCGATCATCGTCGATGGAGTATCATATTCAAAACCACCGTATCCAACTTCATTCGTTATGAAAAAGCCTACAATGAAAATTCAATTTGGCAGCTTTCGCCCAGTAAGATTGGCACTCCCGTCTTTTTCTACTTGATGCGCTTTATAATTTCCCTTTTTCTAGGCCACTATAACATCAGTTTCTGTTCTCAATCCAAATGAATCTCAAATCACAAGCATGATTGTCGAAACTGATTATGATGTTTATAACAGCACGAATCTGGATGGATTACAAGTAAATTTTCAGCCTAACGTTGACTTCAATACTCATATTATTATCACATTGAAAACAACAATGGCAAATGCTATTTTTCCGAAAACAATTCAACTGGCTATTTACGGATGTGGTCAACCAAGTTCACCAGTAACTAAAGCACAAATAGAAAGCACAATAACGGCAACATTATCTCCAGGTAAAATTCAATCGTTAAATATGATAAATTGATAGTCGAGTTTTTTTTAATTTTAGCAATGACTTCATCTGGTGTAGTACCAAAAACAAGTGCTATCGTATCTCAGAGTACGTCAGGAATCACAGAAACAGGTAAAGTGATGAGGCATTTCCTTGAATGAATGCGGTATCAGAGAAAATTAATTGCACTAGTTTTCTTACTCGTTTGAAAACACGCGGGGTACGAAATGTACACATGGTGATGGAGACAGATACATTCTGCGGAGATCAACGGAATGTTTTGGTCCGAAGACGTGAAATTTGTTATTCATTTCTGAAAACTCACTATTCAACGTTTCTGTAGAAATGATTGTGTAAATGAACAAAAATCGTTTTGAAAGTAATTCTAAGTACTGGTTATTGTTTTTCTGGTTATAGAATATATGAAAGGAATTTTCCATGGAATGAATCTCAACGAATTGAAATATCACCGATTGCAAATATCGTTGAAGAAAATAAAATGAGTTGGCGTAAATGTAAATCTGTAGTTGAATGTGCTGGATAGTGGATTGATGTGTATTATGTGGACTTGGGTTAGGGATAGAGGTTTAGATAACAGAGTGATTGTATGAATTCAGGGCGCGAAGAATCACATGAAAATGAATAGGCTCATAGTAGCCCACACCGTAGTCTATGCTGATTTCCGCATTCGAATTCAGATTTCCTATAGTATTAGATACTCATGTTGGTAGAGACTTTTTGTTAGCTCTAATATGCATAGAATGAAAAGGATATATAAGGAATAAAAGAGAGATATATTAAGAGCGCTAGAGACAAGCAGTGCCACTGATGTTATGTGGCGAACGAAGAAAAAGTGAACTTCGTGGGACTGCAACCGACACCCACATCCCATCCGGGCAGATGTCCTAATCAGTTAGACTAGAGGAGCATTTTAATCTTGGTTCAGCGTTAGTAAGTAGGGGTGTTAATTTACAGTTTATTTAATTTAAATTAAATTCAACTTCGTGAAAAGTTAATTTAATTTAAAATTAATTTCCATCAAGTTAAGTTTTGAATTAAATTGACATTGAATTTTTGAAAATTTATTTCCGGATTTAATGAATTTTTTTAAATTTAATAAATTGTTTGGATGGATTCACATCATTGCTACTAGAGAAGTAAGTGACTTTAACAGCAGTAAATACTGAATTAGAGAAAAACTCCCATGTTTTACGTTAATATTTATGCATAATAGTCAAAATTTCTCTACAGATTATGCAGGATCGGTCATCTTTCTTCTTCATAATACTGGGATACTCATAATATTATATTTAATAGCACAATTCATAGAAGAATGACTAGTTTTAACTTTAGAAAATAGGAAGCATACTCAAATTTGACTTTAAATAGTAGCAATCAAGTCAAAACTATTTTCATCTGCTAGTTTTCAAAATTTCACTTATTTGAATTTCGAACAATTTAATTTAAATTTAGTTAAATTTAAATGATACAAAATTTAAAATTTAATTAAATTTAAATTTCTTGTATTTAAGTTTATTTCAAATTGAAATTTTTGAAAATTTATTTCCCCGATTTAATAAATTTTTTAAAATATAAATGTGACACCCCTATTAGTAAGTCACATCACTAACGCTGACACTTTCAAGTAATATTTTATACACACTGAATTAAATATTCAGTCATGCTTCGACAAACACGAACAAGAAACGTAACTTATTTTCTAATGATAGAACAGTCGTTGTCGATTACGTAGGGTACAAAAACAATCATCCTTAATAATGACTATTCAAGAATAAATCTTAGTGGAGGCAGTCGAATACGAAAAAATTTAGCGTAACAATTATGATTTTTCAACTTCAAAAACTTTCTGACTCTATAGACGACAAAGGTTAACGGGAACTACTGTGTTTTCTAGTCTATCTTGGGCTATTTTTTTCAGTCTTTCGGAAACTTTTCGTGTGTAGAGACTTCCAAACGGAAGAAAGATACTTTTGCATGTGATTTTATCATAAGAACTGAAATTGATTTTCCGTGAACTGTACATGAGATTAATCGGATTTAAAGGTTAAGTTTTGCAAAAATGAAATCCGGCTGCGTTTTTTCTCTCGAACGTTCAGCACCTTTTGAAGAAAAAAAACCGCTTTATGTATAGATCAGTTATAAATGCTGCGAATACTAAGCTTAAGGGAAAACTATGAATACATAGACAGTGATCAACAATCGGATAATGTGATGAAGAAATTAATCGTTTAATAACGATAAGTTGAAGCAATATTATATAGAAATGCTCCACAACGAACAAAATATAATAAAGCGGATAAATATAACTGAGTCGACTAAGAGAATCTTTTTATATTCATAATATCCTTTCTGCAAGAGTTTATGACACACCGACTGAAAGGAGTGTTGACGTGCCTAGGATACAATTTTCGACCACACTGTTAAGGTTTATTTTTAAATCTTTATTCACACGTTCGATAACTTACACTTTAACAATAATAAACAAGAACTGAACCAATAACAGGGACCGATATACTTGTATTCAATTATCTCCAATGAGATAAAGAATACATATTAATGTGTGAAGGACAATATGAGAAAGAAAAATAGTGCTATCGAGGTAGATGATGCTAATGATCAGTGTGCATGCACAGATCATAACACCCACCTAGTGACTCTAATGGAGGAAATAACTAAATAATTGTTTAGTTAAAAACTGAATTTCTTCATCACGCTCTGTGACCGCGTCAGAAGACTGCACGCATCAGCATACAGACAGCGGCTGAAAACCTGTTCAGCCTGACAGGCTATGGGAGGCATTTACGAGAAAAAGACTTCCATTGTGTTTCACATTTTACTCCCAGAGATATTGCGCCGACAGCTTTTATTATTTGGGTTTCATTCGAAAGGTGTGTGTAATACATTTCTCTTTCTATTCATGAACAGTTATCAAATACTAATATTCTTTTTAAGTAACACCAATAACGCCCACAACACCAATAAGAACTGCCAACGTTAACACGGTGACAACAACCGTCAATGTGGTGCCAACAACAGCTGAAATCGTGAATACGGGAACAAAAACCACGCCTATGAAAACAGGAAGTATGTGTGACACTGATTAATAGTCTACTGGTGTTAAAAGCTAAACAGAAATGCATTTTTTGGACCCTTTAGAAGTGGTAGGAGGAAAGTTTCCCGTTCGTTGTAATTGCAAAGCCGTGTGATGGATGAAATACGTGAAGTGCTCGGTCAGAATGTAGAAGATGGCAATTTTTATCAGTAACCAGAACGGTTATTAGAAAAAAATGTCAATAGTTGTTTGTGCGATTAGTGAAGTGGAGTAGTGTTGAGAAAGTGAGCAGAATGAAAGACATAAATAATTTGGCAAGTCATGAAACGGACTTGTGAATAAGTGTCGATTTAGATTTTTTTAATTCAAAATTTGACTTCGCGATATGTTAATTTGATTTTAAGTTAAATTCTATGAAGCTAAATTTTGAGATATGTTCTAATTTTTCTCCCGGAAAAAGTAAAACAGGATTTTTATTTTTAGTTGAAAAATCATTTAAGTTTAATTTGTAAGTTTAGTAGATTGTTTGGTTGAATACTCACCATTCGGTTTTTGGGAAATATGTGAGTTTAACAGCCGCAAACAAAAAATTATAGTAGAACCGAGTATTTTAGGTTAATATTTGATCATAGTAGTCGAAATTCCTCTACAGATAAGGGAGGATCGGTTATTTCTCTTCTTCAAAATGCGAAGATGTTGACAAAAATATGTTGAATATCACAATTCGTAGGAAAATGACTAGCTTTAACTTTTGAAAACAAGAAACATACTAAAGTTTTACTTGTGATAATAGCAGTCAAGTCAAAAACTAACGGAAGAGCCATAAAGAATAGCGGTCTCAGTATTTCGTGAATATCTCGCGCAGTTTTTATCGCCCAGGCCTCGCTTTTATCAAAAAGATTCCGGATTTAGTTCTCTAAAAAAATATATGAAGGGAGTTTAAACAAGATTTAGGCGTGAAACTCTATGTGGTGAACACTGGTAAGCTCTTTGAAACGGTCCGCTTTCAAAGATGTTTCTGTTCGTTTTATTGCATTCACGCTGGTGTAGGAGCGATATAGAAAAATTAAGGATGGCATTTTGTAGCTCTTGAAAAACTCTATCAGCTGGGCGATGATTGAAAAATTCAAACTTTGAAACCTGCATGAAGAGGAGCTTTCTTCTTTTTTGTGGGATTCGGGTTCTTGGGAGTCGCCATGGGACTTCATTGTGAACTTCATGTGGTAAGATCACAACATAAGATTATATAGTCAAATTTTTCCCAGTTCGAAGAACAATGCTTTTTCTATAATAGCCAAACGGCTTAATTGGTCTGCAGTTCGTTTTGACAATACGTTGTGAATGAGAAAAAAATGTTCATTTATTCCAGCTCGTTTTTCAAGGCTAACTAATCCTGGAATTGTGTGGTCTTATACAAGCGACTCGTTTCGAGTGCTATGAGAAAGAGGATGCTTGAAAACAGCAAGAAATGTGGATCTCAGTGATGTGACGCCTGAGTTGTCAGAGGAAGAAAGAAAATTAATATTGTGAAAACGAGCGTTTGAAAAGGGGTCTTTTCACCGCATATGAGTGTTCACCACATAGCATTTCACACTTAAATTTTGTATAAACTCTTTTCCTATGATTTTGTAGATAATTGAATAGGGATCGTTTTTTAAAAAAGATTAAAACTGAGCGATAAAACCTGCGCGAGATATTCAGAAAATACTGAGACCACCATTCTTTATGGCCCACCCGTTATGTTTCTCTACTAGTTTTCAAAATTTAACTACTTTGAAAATTCAAACAATTTTATTTTAATTTATATGGTACAAAATTTTTAATTTAATTAAATTACAATTTAAATGTAACACCCTGCTTGCCAAGGTGACCAACCGATTCCAGTGCGTGTGCGTAGATATGTTTTAGAACTCATAATATTTAGCCATCAAGTACACAAATTCAAAGTGCTTAAATATTCATATTGAGAACTATACACATCGTCAGCATTCTGATTGGTCGATTAGAAACTCTGAGTGTAACTTTCCGTGTGATTTTCGTTGAATTTTCTTACTGGAAGGTTTTCTAGAGAAGATATTTGTGAATTGCCATAGAATAAACGTTTTGTTTGCAATTGCCGTCAGTCATCTGTTGTTCCGTTGTTCGTCGCTACGAATTTCTTCAGTACATAAGACAATTAGTCAAGGGGGGACGGCAGACTTGAAGTAGAAAAGTACGTCAAAGCAGACTGCTTGAAGTAGTTCAAAGTAGGACCAAGTAGCTGCCCAAGTGAGCAAAAGACTGGTTAAATGACTAGTCTTTTTCCTAGTCAAACCGATCTGTCCCGTCTAGTCTTTGTCTCAAAAACTACTCGTCCACGACTAGTCCGAGTTTTTATCCGTCATGCATGCGCGTCCTAGTACTCTGATTGACGACTAGTCATAAAATCTAGTAAGAGTAGTCGTGACGAGTGTCCCTGTCGCCCGTCCGAAAATGATTTATGAATGAAAATTGAGGCCGTCTGGGACGAGTATACAACCAACTGTAGTCTTATATAGTGGACGAGTCTGGACTAGTCTGAATGAAAATATGTAAGGATGAAGATTAGATTCGAACATGTATACAATGTGACACTTACCCGTCGCCAGAACCATTGAGCCATATGATCNTACCGCAACACAGGTGGATAGTAGACTTAAAATTGCTAAAAGTCTTTGAAGCACAGTTATCATATCGTCTGGGAGTACAGGGAGTCCGCTGGAGTACGGGAGTCGCGCTTTTTCCCCCTTGTCGTGAAGTCATATTCTACACACTCATGATCATTCTAAGATGTTATTAAGAAGATTTTTTAAGAAGATTTTATAATTTTTTCGACAAATATATTTTTATTTATAAGCAAGTGCGATTAATAAGTTGGGTTTTAAAAACATTAATTTGAGTATAAAAATAAAAATAATTTATACCGGGAAGAAACTAGATTTTTTCATACTATTTTTATTTAATTTCATACTTAAAAATCTCCGTACATTCATCTAACAAATAAATTATCTTAGCTTTATTTAAAATTACTACAATTGATATTTAATATAAACTAACATTATATTTTGATATAGCGATTTAGATGCTTCTCGAATTTTTTAAGAATTACCACCTATCACAATTCAAAAAAAAATATATAAATTAGCACTCCTAGATACGAGATGAATTTTGTTATTAGTACTAACCCCTACTAGTTTATGTTTTGATACAATCTTAAACTTTTAGCATATGCTAATGCAAAATAAAATAAAATATATCAAGACAGGAATGCACGCAATATATTAAATCTTTTCGAATGCACTATTTATTACAGCAGACTCTCTAATTGTCCTTCTAGGTAGAAAAAAATTCGATAAGCATTGAGTAAAATAAACACTTCTTAAAAACGGACTAGTCATGGGGTGTCCAAAAGATGCTTCAGACTAATCAAAACCGTTTACGTCGGTTTGTTTCTCATTTTATATGCATGGATGGGAGTCAATATATAAGTTTAGACTATATATACTTACGGCAGTCTATCTCAGTATCCTACTCTGCCGGCAGGATGTCCGTCATATCTCCAATACTGTCGGACTGGGTGTTCAAATCCACCGTGCAACCTCTGTTTTTAATTTTCTTACTAGTCTGGACTGGGTCAACAGACAACATGGACCAGACATGACTGGGTTCAAGGATATTTCAGACTAGTACATACGTGTTTGTAAGACACTCCTCATTAGCCTGACTAGACCAAACGGGTATGCAAGACGTTTCAGACTAGACTTGATGGTAGCTGCGGACATTTTTGACTACCCTAGGGAATGTACTGGGTTCAGGGTACCCACATACTAAGAAAGCCACACCAGAGTACCTATTAAGGGTGCTCAGAAAATTCTCAGCAACCAGACTGTTGTAGGTACTGCATTGGGTACCCATAGCAGTATGTTTCGCTGAAGCAGTACTTGTATGAGTACCCGCACCTGTTATTTTACTGAGGAAAGCTCTACAGGGTACCCTAGATTTATCGCGTTCTGTGTGGCGTCTGTTCATTCACCGTTTTCTTTTGTGTGAACAGCTCCTTATAAACAATTCGGTGAACCATCAGAAAATAAACTTTTTTCATATTTTTTTCTAGATTATTTCTTGACTATTTATTAGTGGAGAACATGCCGATCTTAATCGTAAATTAAGATCGGACTACCCTGAAGTGGTCGGATGGAGATTCGACCAACTCAAGTCGGTCAGATCCCGAAATTTGACCTGCTAGAGTTTTCAGGATTGGAAAAATTAAATTGTTTTGAGAGAAAAAAAATGAAAAAATTCGAAGATTAGGTTCGACCATCAACGTGCTGCAATTTTGGTGACAGGGTACCTAAGCATACTGTGCAATAGTATCCAGTTGAGTACTTGATCAGTACCTTCAAGTACTCATTTACTAGTTGTTTTCCAGCAGGGTACCTACCTGAGTACCTAAAAGGTGCCTAAAAGTACTTTTAAGTACTCCAGTACCATAAAGTTCCTAAGACATACTATTAGCCGGGTACTTTTTCGGGTACCTTTTGTTCAGTACATGCCCTAGGGTAGTCATGTCGGCTGTCTCCCTTCATTTTTTGCTTACTTGGGTGAAGTAGCTTGAAGTAATCTCAAGTACTTCAGGTAAATCTGAAATTGAAAAGTACTTCAAAGTAAGCTACTTGAACTAGCTTAAAGTAGCTTGAAGCCCAAAAGTCTGCTGTTTCCCCCTTGTAATTAGTTCTCAATCTTTTCCTGTTTGTTCATTCCATTTTTCACGGCGAAAGTGAGAGAAGACCTTGATTAGAGTATTAGTCCTTATCGTGAAATGTCTCTACACTATTTATAACATTTCATAGACTCGCTGCTTCGCAATCTTTTTAGCAAATCATCATTCTCCTCTTACACAACAGAAAGTGTTTATTGTTGACGAACACGAAGAAACATGCATTAAATATAATTCGTTCGCACTGGTGCGCATATTTTAGAAACTCTAGTGTATGTATAGGATACTTGAAGATTTGTATCTGGTATCAAGTATGAGATTCGCAGCATTTCAGCTTAAACCAGCGCTACTTTGCCTTTTTTTACAGTGATCGAGTTAATTATGGGTACGGTAGTGAGGTTTATCATATTCAGATTGAGAAAATTATGTTGCACGATTGAGTTTCTTCTTGTATTCAAGTCACCACTACATCCAACAGCAACCGGCAAACTTTTTACAGTTTTTCGGAATATAATCATTCAGTTACTCTGAATTTTTATTCTTAGGTTCAGCTGCAACTGGCACTACAGGGCCTACAACTGCAGCAAGACTAACTCCAACTACTGGTAATTAAGATTTAAATATCTACTCTTTCTTTTGTTCTACACTGTACATTTACAGTATGCAAAGAAATAGTGGACTTTACGCAATTGGGATCCGTTTTATTTGCATCTGTCTCCGTTAATAATTTAAAGTTCCCAACTGACGGTTTAGAGAAGAAACTATCACTATCTACGCTACCAACAACAGTGTCAATCATCTTCAAACACGTATGATAATCAATTTGTTCATCCATAAATACCACATGCGAAGTTTTCGATCTATAGGGAGTCATCATTCACAATGTATCAGTCTTGAATCCATCTGAATCCCGAGTAATCTCCATCAGCGCTCAAACTGATTTAGATTTTGAACCAATCAATAATCCAAATCCTGCGATTCCGGTTGTTGTTTATAATCCGCATGAGGAAGATGTTAGAGAGTTGGACATTACAATTCTCAAAATCAAAGATCCTTCTCTCCCAACAAAATTACAGTTAGCTATATACGGCTGTACTACCCCAAGCACTATTAGTACCAAGCCCCTAATTGAAACAACTTCACCTCAACTTGTCAGCACCACTCAACCATCCACACGATCAGGTACAGTCACTAAAATCATTGCGGCACCAACCGAGAAAATTACGCCTATCCTGACCGTAGTCACCAGAAAGATACCCCGTCACCAATTACTAAACACAAAACATCACTCACATTTTCGTTATTTACAGGTACTACCAGAAACGGGTGCACAGAAATACAACTCGTTGATGAAGCTGTTAGCAAGAACATTATTGTGACACCGAACCCATTGCCGATAGGTGAAAACATCAAATTTCAACCAACATCTCAACAAGGTGTTTCTTTCGGCGAAAATGATCGCACACCGACGATTACTGTCAACTTTGGGAAACCTGCTGAGGTTCAGTCAGTCACACTTCCACGTGATCGAACACCCAATGGAAATGTTGCACAATTTGAAGTCACCTTCTATTCACCTCATGGACACAAAATCAACCACAAACCAATCTTAAGTAGTTCAAGTCCAAACGAAAACAAGAAGAAGCCAGCTGAACTCGATTCATCACAAATACCATCAAATACACGTGTATCACGTGTAGTGATCACCATTGTTAGCACTACTAATGGTGAATCACCGAAAGGTGTTGTTTTGGATATTCAAGCTTGTACGGAAGCGACAACAGGTTCGTATTCAAGTCTTTGTTGCAATTTTCGGAGTGATTTTTTTTATGCGTTTTTCGTGATGTGCCGATTGCGGCCAGTTTCCGGGTACTCTCTCATGGGTGCCGTTTGTAGGTTTGAGTGGGTGATGGCTAGAAATGAGCTTCGTTTGGTTTTGGTTGTCTGAATGGATGATGAGTAACAAAGCACTTTGTTATGATTTATCCGATTAAGATGGATGTTGTTTTTCAGGTTGTGACGGAGGTGCTGGGGCCGACTTGTATCTGGTTTGTTCGAGATGTGTTAATGGGAGTGGTTAGAATTGGTGGATTTTGGTTTGATTGCTGAGATTCGAAATTTAATTGGATTTCGATTTTGGGGTATGCGGCAACTTTGAATGCGGTATCTGTGTTGAGAGCGTTTCGGTTGAGCAATGATGGGGGGAATTGAATGTTGCGTGCTCGAATAATTGTTCCTCAAGTGCTGCGTGAGTTGGAAGGCTGTATTATCGCTAGTTTTGATCAGGTTGCACAGCTAGATTATTTTATTGGATTGATAAGGATCGTTATCAGAGTATATTTTTATATGGTTGTTTATCTGGAGAAACCTGAAATGGACAGGGGTATGTAGTGTGGTGACAATGTCGTGTGTCGTTCAACGTAGTGAAGAATAGACCTGGGATAGCTATGAATTTTTTTTTAGAAGTGGTAATTATATTCGATATTGGGTAGAGACATAAATAATATTGTAGTTTTAAGCTAGTCTTCAGCGGAAAATGGTCGAATATTTTAAGGGAGAGCGAATGAGTGATCAGTTCCAGTTCTTTCGGTAGGGACTGTTTAGGAAATACGAGTGTAGTTCTCAGTTTTGAACTGTCAGAAGCGTGTTGAAGAGTATGGAAATTGAAGTGCGACTCGTGTAGGTTGCAGTGGTGAGTTGGTTGTGTTAGCTGATATGGTGAGCGGTCGCAATGTATTATTTGTTGCAAGTACTGTTTGAAATGATGAATGAGATTGATCATATAATACTATGTTGTTGATCTGAATGGTCTGATGGTTCTTTGCGTTGGTTACTATTGAGATATGTAGGTCTGCATTTTACAAGTTAACGTGATCATGTTGTAGGTCGTTTTCCGTTGGCGTATTTTCTGCGACCCGCTGAGGTAAGTCTGTTTTCGGCAATCTGATCATGAAAAAGGGCCATGCTTACAGGCATGTTTCATTTGGCGTCATCAAATGTCAGGCGAATTTTGCGTTAGTTATTAGATAATATTACCGTCAAGTTGTATCTAAATTAATAATGTCTATGACATAGTGGTTGGATGTGGTATATATCGTATTGCTCATTTGTGATGTAGGTAGCCTGGAAATTGATGCTCATCTTTTGACTGTTACCTTTCTGATCAGTACATTTCGGAATAAAGAATATGTAGTATTACATTATTTAATATCAATACGTAGTAAAGTTGACTTGTGTCACGCGATATATCGATGTTTGTTGAGTTTTGTGGGATTGTTGCTTTAGAAACTTATAAAATCTTTATTATTCTAATGCAGAACTTAGTACCAGTCATTTAAGCTCAACGGATTTGGCTACCAGTAAGTTAACTTGGGTTTTTGATGAATCTAAGAATTACTAATATTTTCAGAAGCGACTGACGAAGTGGCCAATGAGACGACGACAGCGGCAAGTGCAGCATTGCGATGCCAAACGGAAAATATTCTTGTTGAAGAATTTGGTATCGTGGACGCTGAAGCAATCATCGAGACAGCAAAAGGAGAAACAAAAGTAATTGGATACATCATTCGATCTAATAACACAGGGTGGACACCACCATCAGCTTTTTCATCACTGATTATTGGCTTCCGTTATCCTGTACAAGTAAATACATATAAAGAGTAAACATTGACTAAGTTGTGTACATTGCTTTTGATTAATAGATTGGCCGTATTCTTGTAACCGCCAATAATCTCAAACAATGGCGCCTATATTATCAATCAGCGTCAGAAGTATTTCCGTATTGGATAGCTTATAATAATGTACGTACTAGTGTAAAAATAAAGACGTTTCATTTTGTTTCTTTCTGATAGTCAATGGTTTTAACTAATAATGAAATTATATTTTCAAGAACACTCAATGCTACGAAAATTCGTTTAACTCCAAATAGTGATGTTGAAAATCTTCGTCTTGAAGTTTTCGCTTGTGTCTCTTTCTGTATGAATAATAAAATTGTGTATCATTTCAATTTCAATTTTTTTTATTATAGTAACTGAAACGACTACAACTAATAGACCATGCGTTCTAACAGAATGGTCTGATTGGGGAGCCTGCAGTCGTACATGTGGTATTGGATACCAAATACGCACTCGTAAGACAAATTCATCCGACATTTGTGATGATGAACAATTGATCGAACATCAATCTTGTATGGGTCGCCGTTGCCAATGCTCAATCGATGAGGCATTTTATAAGCGCGTATTTCACAAAGAGCCATCTGATAATAGTAAATACAATTATAAGAAGTGTTCACTAAAACAAATGTTTTATATTTGTAGCAGAAATTGGTTATATTTTTACATATTCAAATAGCACTAATGCATCGAAAAATATTATATATGTTAATGATACTATCGATCAAGGCACTGTTATTCGCACAAAAGATTACTGTTATATTGTTTACTGTACAGCTGAAGGTTTGAAATTGTCGAATAACCAATGTGTAACAACAACCATAATGTCATCAACAACCCCGATAACAAATAATACTCAATGTGCAATGCAACAGTTTAGTAATGCTCCAATAAAAGTCAATAATGGCCGATGCATATCACGTCAAAGCTTTCCTCAAGAACATTGTGGTGGCTATTGTAAATCTGATAGTGACTATGAATGCAAATGCTGCTCTATTGGAGCAACATATTTGCAATCAGTTCTGTTTGATTGCCTCGTTGATGGTTCAAAGTCTGTAACAGAAGAGAAGATGATAGATGTCCGACGCATTCAATCATGTAGTTGTAACGAATGCCATGATGATTGCACAATACGTCAATATGAAAGTAGTCCATTACGAATAAACAGTAATCGATGTGTATCCCGTGAAAATGTCCCTCGAGAGAGATGTGGTGGACATTGTGAATCAGATAGTGATGATCAATGCACTTGCTGTTCAATAACAAAAACATATTTACAGCCAATTATTTTTGATTGTCTAGTTAATGAGGCACAAAACGTAACGGAGCAAAGAACAGTGGAAATTCGGCGTATAAAAGAATGCAGCTGTAATATATGCTCCAATCGAAGTTTAAACAATGGAAAATAATAATTATCAATGGACATTGAACAATTATTTATTAGACTTTTCAGGAAATAAGGAATGGCATTTTTCATGAAAATTATCACTTTTAAAATATTATTAATCATTTTCTTAATCAACATATTTTACTCCTTTTCGTTTAAGTGAAATAAACTATGGTGTAATATAACCACATCACAGGTGCAGGTTTTAAAAAATTGTTATAAAAATAAGCCAAATCTACGTCGTTCAGCTTAATTTTCGATAGTACATGTTTTGCACCACGAGAATCCTTGCAAGAACTTTTCAAGCGATCTAGAGGCTAAATTGATGACTAGTCTTTTCTCTAGTCACTTTAGTATGATCAGACTAGTCAGAATGTCTAAAACTGCTTACACAGACAGGGGTGACGCGATTGTTTGAAGTTTTTTTTGGAGGGGTGGGAGGTGATATTTTGTTAAGGACCAAAGATACGAATCATAAAAATGCCAGCCGCCACAATAATTAGTTATGGGAAATTCAATTATTCTTGGGATCCCTTCATGACCTGACCTATGACGCACATATAGTCTAGTTTTTATCTCTAAACAGATGCGATATGTCGAATTCACATGGTAGGGCATAAGAAAACGATTTCAAGTTGCAAAATGAAGAGTGCTAAGGATAATTCACACATGACAGGCTATGTTAAGATCCAATGAAATAGCTTGGATGAATTTTGATCTGAATATAAAATGAAGTGAAAGTTTAGATTCGAATATATGTATATCCCGTTACTTGCCAGCCTTCAGCACAATTAGTCATATTATCGAAAAACTACTCTTTTACGTCTGGTTTAGCATTGTTTGACAACGTCTAATTAAGTTTTATCGAGAAATTTTCTCAATATTTCTAAAGCGATAAGAAGGTCATTCTAGTACAATATTTAATATCGTAATTCAAAAAACAGTATTTTTTATCTGTTGAAGTGAAAGAAAAATATTTTGCTTTTTAGAGTTTCAAGATCACGGAAGAGTGCAAAATAATGTTTGCTCATACGAATAAATCGGACAGGATCTTAAAGTATCTTAGCAGTCAACAGAATTCGATGAAGCTGTGTGTTCAGAAACTACTCACAGATCCGAAGGTTAAGTTATATTTAATTAATTAAGCAGTACCTAATACCCCATATCAATATGATAGATCAATCACACCCCGACATTAGGTTCTGTAGAATTTGACAGGAATTTGTCAGCTGTACAGAAATCACATAGAATCCAGTAGAATCTAATCGTCAGAATTATTTTCCTGAGTGCTTTAAAATAAATTAAAAATAACATAGTCTTAAAACTAATATCATTTAGTTTTACATTCTTAATGGATTTATTGAACTAAACATAAAATCGTGGCAATTATAATTACTATTTTCTCTGTAAGTCAAACAGTTGTAAATTTAATGGTGCTCGATATTTTATTGAATTCATTAATTTTTTCCAGGCCCATAAAAATATAATTTTCAGTAAATTATTAGTTTGAATTAAAATAGCGTAACTCAGATAGAAATTATTTGCATAACCCAGGTCGTCAGGTCAGGAAGTACGGGCAGATTCTCGCAGGAAACAGTATTCCGGTCAAAAAATTTTGAGACTTTTCCGGTACACTCCAGCCAATTCGTTTTCTTTCCGCCAGAACTCAATTGATCATCATCGGGAGAAGCTCCGAAAATTTTCCAGTCGAAATACTGCTTCCGTGTTCCGTTGATTTTCAGTGTTTTGGATTTGAAGAATAGTAATCAATATACCCGAAATAAATCTATGTCTCCGATTGAATATAATAATCGTCTATTTGATGTATACCCGCTTATGTTTATCATTTATGTCTTAGACTAAGCGTAATAAGAAATATCTGCTGATAAAAGCACATAAAATTTTAATAAAATATTTATGCATAGTACATACTACATATGTATTCGCTAGAACAATAATCAGGTGTAGAAAACTTTATATTATCAAGTAAATAAGGATGTGAATATTACTGTTATGCTACGAATTAAAATTTACTCATATATATATTTGGTAATTATGAAAGTTTTGACTGTAATCTATTATAAAACGAGCAAGTATTATCTCAATTAAGTTGATTTTTTTTACACGCCGAAAACATTCGCCATGGCGCATAATATGTATTTTATTAAAAATTATACGAATGTATCAAAACAAATTCTATCGTGGTTAGCTTTTCTTAATTGAAACACAAAATCATTTAATATTGCCATAGTCATCTAATAATCGTATTTTGGATTTATTAACATAGTTACTTAGTAACGTATAAGCGCTTCTTGTGCTTTCATCAATAAATAATTCTAACGGCGGTTGGTTCAATAACAACTGTGATGTTAAAAGAATACATATTTCTTGCGCACGAGTCATACTAACATTAATACGTTGTCGATTATAAATAAAATCCAATTCATTTTCAAGTACTTCACGTTGTCTATATAACATACAAAGTATAATACACTGAGCTTCTTTCCCTTGCATTCTTTCTACAGTATCATATGTTATAGAAACATTCGAAAACGGATTTTTTAAAAGTTTTTGTCGAATAGCAGAACGCTGCATCCGGTGCGGAGTAATTATAAATATTGATGATAGAGATATACGTGAAACAAGTTCGTTAATAAGAGAATACACAAGATTGGATTCAAGATTGAGATCTTCACTACGAGCCGAAAATGAACTGGATGGTGAATCAATTAGAAGTGTATAAAGCGAGCTACATGATTGGAGAAGAGAACCAAGAAGAAATTTATTTGAATCGGCAATCGAACGAATAAAAATTGAAGGTGTCGAACGGCTTTGACGATAATTTTCACCGTATAAAAGACGAGTAAAATCAGATAATTCATCATTCATACCTGAAGCAATAAATTAACGATCCAGAAGAAGAAGAAAAATAAAACTCACGATGGTTTTCATCAAAAATAGATAGGTATGGGCAGTGTGACATTTTTTCAAATGGTTTCTCTGTATTTAATAGTATTGGAATATTGTTTTCATCGCGTAGTAAACAATGGAAAATAGATGAAAATAAGTCAGGTACTGGATGAGGTAAAGCTGGATAAACACAATGTATTATTGGCGGTAATTGTAATGGGTCACCAGCTACAATTAATCGAGATTCTCGATGATCAGCTAGACGATTTATAGCTAGAACAGCATCACTTGTTAGTAGTTGTGTTGCTTCATCAACAAAAATAATATCAAAAACAATCGAATGTTCAACTTTTTGTAATGTCCAAACTGTGGAGCCAACAACTAAAGAACACTTTCCATAAAATGATGAGAGATCACGATAGTTACTAGAATCAATTTTTAATACGACTAGCTTTTTAGCTAATTGATACCATTGAGGATATTGTGGTGACGAGTTAAAATAATTTTTTAAATGATTTATCGACGATAGAAGATTATCAATAGCTGTATGAGTGCAAGCTGTTATTAATATATTCAGTGGAGAAGATGATAACATTAACATTTGAAAAGCAGTCACACTAGACCAATAGGTTTTACCAGTGCCTAGAAACAATATATACAAAATATAGTATTTAATAATCTATTAAAATGAAAATAGAGAATTTAACGTCAATATTACTAATCGGCTTCAGAAGTGCCATATTTCAAGTTAGTACCTTAACAATATGAATTCAAATAAGTAATAACCATATCTCGCTTCCATATGTTATACGTCAGTTTTTACAATACCCAGGAGAATCATTCCGACAACCGAATCCGATCAGATCAGATCAAACAGTACGCCGATCGAATTTTATGTGAATTTCGATAAAACCCACGAATTCCAGTAGGATCCGAGTCGTGAACCGACATTCGAATCCCTAGTGTTAGGATTCAACTATAGGACCCTGTGACAATCCTGGTTGAACGTGTATGCATCACTATCTACTGTCACCGTTGTGTGGAATGATTGTTTCTGTTTGCTGTTCTTACTTATCATATCATTTGTTGTTAGCTAACATGTTACTCTCTCTTCTTATATATTCACCTAGTGTTAATTACCGTATCGTGCGTCTATCACTCCTCATACTCAATGTAATCGTATGCACTATACAAGCATATATCACTAATGAGTTTATCTTATGTCTCGACCATTCTTGTTCATACTCAATGATTGTTCTTTTTCCTTTCTCTGTATAAGATATTCTCTCTCCTTCTCTCGTTCCACGATCGATATATAAAGAGTGGACGTGAGAGAAGAGTGGGACCATTCTTTTGGATAATAAATTCAAGAATCGTTACAGACCCGACGTCCTAAAAAGGCTCTAATTGATATATGATGTTGGGATCAATTGTTAAGTTCTACTTAACTAATTATATAGAATTTTCCTATCTGACCTGTGAGTAGTTCCTCAACTATGAATCCCACCGGATTTTGTTGGCTGCTAAAATCCTATAAGGTCCGATAGGATTCGGCATTGGATTCTTCCATCTGGGTAACTATTTTATTATCTCAGCATAAACCAAGTAAAACTGATTATAAATGACTGAAAATTAATGAAATTAAATTTTTTATCTATTTGAATAAGGTGGAATATAAAAATGGAAGCGCGAGGCTTTTAACAATGAATTACAGGTGAAGTACAGGTGAAGTACAGTAGAATTCAGTTGAACTTTACTCTTGTTAGGGTCTGACATCTTTATCTATATGTTGGAGGTCAACACTCTCTTGTTTGTTTGTTTTCTCTCGTTCTTCTCCCTTTTTGTTTATTGTTATGAAACAGTTATGTCTTATACGTAATAAAGAAAGCCCTGTGAACTCGGGACATAACAAAATGTTAACATTAGATTGGAATGATCATCAATTACTTATGAAATTCTATGAATTAAAACCTGACGAAGAACTAATTCAATTAGCTCAACATATTTGGCAAGTAACAGCCGATGAATTCAAAACAAAAGAACAGCAAGAAATACTTCGACAACGTATTTATTTAAAACGATTACCCACAAAAACAGATCAAATGGTAAATCAACTACTTGATGATACTCAAAAAACACTTTCCAATCCTTTTCTTGATCAAGATCAACGTTCAAGTTTTGCATCGCGTTGTTCGAAAACAATTATACAATGTAAATTTAATTTAATGATCGTAGAATTGGACGAACTTTCAATTGTCATGCATCGTTATGATCTAACATTGGCTAATTTAAATGAAAAATTATCAAAACTTAATGAAGAAAATTCACATATTTATACAACTGCCTTGGTCAATATCATTGAAGAACGTCAACAAGCCATGATACAACGATTTATTCGAATGCGTCAACATAAATTGAAGACTTTTTTCGACCAAGCTCCGATGATAGACAACAACTAATTAAATCACATCATCGTCGGAGCAATCTATTTATTTATACAAAAATAAGCAGTACATTACCATTTATTGAAGCAAACATAAAATTAGATGTACAACCGATATCCATCTTAATCAATGGCCGTAAATATGTTATTCCATGTCAAAGTTATTTCTCTCATAAAAAGCGAAGTGAAATTGCTCAAAAGGAATATGAGAGAATATCGAATATTGCTAAAGCAACCATCCATAATAATCAAATGTCAAAAACTGATGAACGAGCAAACAAAGCCTTTCAAGAACTAGAACAAACTATGAAAGATTTATATTCAAAACCATTACCATCACAATTATACCGACGTGCTCGACGAGAACATCGAAGAATGAAGCGTCTTCAAACGTTGCTACATAGTCGACCTGATATTATTGTACGTCGTATAGACAAAGGCGAAGGCTTTTATTTTGGTAAAACGGTTACGATGGATTATAAAACAGAGGAATACATGAATAAAACTGAAGCCTATCAAGAAATGATAACTGATCATTCTCCACTGCTCGATATTTTACGTTCTACCGAATCTGTACTTGATTATCTTGTGAAGAAAAAAGCGATTACAAAAGGCCAGCGTGATAAACTTATCCCTAATTTAAACAAGCTTGAATTAGCTCATTTATATTCAATACCTAAAGTGCATAAGGTAATACTTTTCATTTTCTATTGATTTTTTTCTTGTTTTTTTTATAAATAATCTAATTTTTTTTCCTCAGCCTCAAATACCAATACGACCGATCGTTGCTGGCATCCATGCATCAGTGACATTTGTCTCAAAACTATTGAATGATCTTCTTGCACCAGTCTATTTAGAAGTGGCTCAAGAAACTACATTTATTAATAGTATTGGCTTTGCTCGAATATTAGAAAAATATGCTGAAGCGGGTTTTCTCAAATTAGCGACAAACTTTATTATAATTGACGTTGAAAATCTTTATACCGTGATTCCACGTGGAGGCGGCATCAACGCATTAATTCGATTTTTAGAGAAATACGCTAAAAACAACAAAATTGGACCATTTAATATAGACATGATATTAAAAATGGCTCGCCTCATTTTGGATACAAATTATTTTGCTTATAAAAATAAATACTATCAACAAAAACGTGGCGGTGCTATGGGTTCAGCGTTTACACAAGTCTATGCCAATATTTATATGTTGGAATGGGAACAAGATTTAATTCAACATCAAGCAGCAAAACACGAAATCTATGGAAGGTTTGTTCAACATTTCAGCTATTCAAACACTTATATATTTCTTTTTATAGGTACATCGATGACATTTTCATGACAACCAACGAACCACTAGAGGAAATAACAAAAGAACTTGATAATGCAGCACGAAAAGATGTCAACATCAAAATTAAATATAAAATTAGTCAAACTACTGAATTTCTTGACATGAGTATTACCAATTACAATGGAATTTTGAAAACATCCGTATTTCATAAACCAACTGCTGTTCCATATTATTTACCTTATACATCAGATCATCCGAATCACATTCATCGTAATATACCATACAATGCATTACAACGTGCTGCACGTCTTTGTTCAAACCTTCATGCTTTTCATTCAGAAAGATTGCGCATTGAAGTATCGCTTCTATTAAACAATTATCCACCAAAATTTATCACCAATCAATTTCTCCGCTTTTTTCAAGTGAATCGAGTCGATCTACTAATCAAACGATCCGACGAACGATCTTATCAAAAATTACATCAAAAACTATTAAATCAGCCCACCATACGTGAGACTCAATGCAAAACCATCACCAACAATATACCCTTATTCCTATCGCTATTAGAAATAAAGCCATGGGATCCGAAAGTAATGTACATACCGTACAAATATGAAGCCGGTACAACATCAAACTTTCCACAACATTTCCATCAATGGTGGAAAAAAAACTATCTTTATCAAGGATCACCAGCAAAACGAATTCAAATTCGGCTAATACCCAGAACAAACAAAACGTTACAACACTTCTTGATTCACAAGAAGCCATCAAAAACTATTCTAACTATTCAGACATGATCCACAACCACAGACTTCCTGTCGAACTTTTTCATCTTCACCTTCGCCTGTATCACTACAAAAACGTTGTTCTTATTTAAATAAAACGATTTAGACAAAACACCATGCTGTATAATATCTCGAGGGCTACCAATTCACAGCAGCCAAATTCTTTCCAGTACCTCACATAAAATCTATCAGCCACATCCCATACGTAAAACATAATTTCAGTTACTGATACTACATAGGAAAGAAAAAAAACCGAATTCTTCGAAGTGCAACTCTTTGATATTATGCTCCCATCTTTTCCCATAGATAACATCTATACTCCACAACATTAAGCAAGGACGAAACGTCGTGTGATGCTTTCAATCTAGCCCATCTATAATAATATATAGAGGAATTTGATACATATTCATACGAAAATAGGATAAAAGACTCGATTAATCATGCAATGCCTCTATTCCGAATGACTATATCACACTACCGTGAACTAAATTTATCATTATAGAATAGAATTTTGTAAAAAATTTTTGTATCTATAACAGTATAAATTAGAATAAGTCTTTTTGGTTCTTATATATTTATATATATAAGTAATCATATTGATTTAATGCCATCTGATGAGATCCTTAAGCAAGATCGAAACGCGTCATGGCTGCCTATATCACACCCTGATTACTATTTTCAACGGAAAATTATGAAGTAGAACTTATGGGGACAAAAATTAGCCAAATCCCTATATCGGTTTCACATGGTAGTATATCGATTTGAAGGAAATAAATACAATAATCCTCTTCTATATAATCATCATTTTATCTAACATGCATATTGTATTATTTGGAGTAGACGTTGTGGAGTCATTTTTTCAATATGCCTCATCGCTACAATTGCAAATCGTATGATGGTATTTTATTGTTATGGGAATGGAATCGATATGTCTAGCAACGTACTCTTTTGGTTATGTTTGACCATCGCACCTGATCTATATGTTTTACTTATTGTGTATGTTTTATTGTTTCACATTGAAGAGATACATTCTCAACTCAATCAATGCGGTACTATTATTGGCCTGTGTTTTGCTACCTTTATTATTCTGGTCTCATCATGTAACATTCTCATGCTGAAGATCACAGGTAGGTTTTCTTTCAAGAACAAATGTTCCAAGCATAGATATAGACAAAAATTTCTCGAGTAGGAAAAGCTTTTAGAAAACCAATCTATAGCAGAATAAAAGAGTAGTTAGCTTATTTGATTATGTTTCTTGAAGTATCGATAAAAATGAATGAAGTGATTTTATTTAAAGATGATCCTAGGTCGAAATCTGGATTGGAATATCGTCTTCGAGGTGAATTTGGCAACAACATACAGTTTGTATTTATCACATATTTCCTCGTTTTTATCTCTATTGGTCTCGTTCATTTTCCTCGGTATCACATTATGGATAGTTGTTCTTCGTCAAAGTCAGATACATAAAAGTCGACGAAATGGTCATCTCAAAACTGTAAAAAGACTTGCTTCATGTCTTATTTTTACATATCTACTGGCTATTCTCTTTTTTCGTCTACCAGAACAATATACTAATCTATCATCGAATATGGTATTGATATATTTTTTAAATTAGTCACATATTATTGGAGAAAAATATTTTTGGTACCGATTCAAATGGACCAAGCTGTGTTCGATCGTGTAGCTCAACTGATCCGTGCACCACCTGTTGACATTTCTCGTCCATTAGCTACTTTGAAACAACCGATTAAAGATGTTTTCATCATAGTTCTAGAATCTATTCGAGCCGATGCTATGCCATTAAATGAGAGTCTTGCCAACGCTGTCAACTTGAATTTCACGCCTAATACAACTCCGGAAACTGTCACACCACTACTTAGCTCTTTATGGGCGAATTCTGTACGTACAATTGCATCAGTTGCGTCATCGTATACATTAAAGTCTTCTCAGTATTTTTTGTGGTATCTATCCAATCAATGTTAATTTTCTCAAAGAAGCAAATCCCGAGAATATATTATATGAAAAATGTTTACCAGAACTACTCCGCGAATTTTTTCTAACGAACAACGAGTCAATTTTTAATTCAGCCTTTTTTACGGCAGCCCGTGATAATTTTGATCATCAGCGTGAAATAATTGACAAGATGAAATTCGATACTGTAAGAAGTGCTTCGAATATTTATGCTGAAGTAGGATACGTATCTGATCTTGGTATGTTTGAATCCGCTGATTCATATATTTTACCTCTCTTGTGGAAATGGATTGATCAAAATTTAGCAGAACAACCAACAAAACATTTAATGACGAGTTTATTAATCACTGGAACGCATGAACCCTTTCCTATGCCACATAATCAGCGAGAGGATGAATATCATTATTATATTTATGAGACAAACATCAACAACTACCTCAATGCCTTACATATCACTGATAAATTTATAAAAGAAATTATCGATGGTTTTATATCACGTCATTTATACAATGATACCCTTTTCGTTATCACGAGTGATCACGGCTATGTATTTAACGACCATGGAAGAGAGATACTTGGATTACTGAGTACGCCTCTGGAATCTGCATTGTCAGTCCCCTTAATATTACGCAATCCACATCTCGAAGCTAAACAACTGAATGGTCAATTTACCTCCATGGATATTTTGCCAACTATCATGGATGTACTATTATCGTCAATCAAATCTGATGAACACCCCACCAATCAACTATTGTCTGTGCCAAGTCATCAATTACAATCAATATTATCTCGATACGAAGGAACATCAGTTCTACGCATGCCAATTGCACAACAACCCGCTCGGCACACATTCCAGTTGTCTAATCCCGGTAATTCGTATATTGTTGTAAAACAATATCCAAGAAAACTCACCTATGATGTTGCAAATGATCAAGTACATTTGTATCATCTAGGATATGATCCTTTGGAATTAGTTGATTTAATCGCGTTCGATCATGCAATTACAGCTTCACATCCACCATGGGTTGGTATAATCTGTGATAAAAGTAGAATCAGAAAATGGAAAGGGCTTTGGCAAAATGAAAAGGTGAATACAGCTACTCAGCATAATCTTCTATTTGAAAATAAAACTTTGTTATCAATAGAAAAGTCTGATGCAATTAATAATAGCAGTGTACACTTGAGGGATATGTTAGATTGGGCAGATCAAGCTTTTGAAGTGGCTCGCCTTTGGAAAAATCTTGTGAAACAACGTTACCGCTACGATAGCGACGCAGTCTCTGTTTAGTAATACAAGAATCGGAAGTAGTTCACCTTTTTAGTGCAATCTACCTTTTCCGGGTTTTTTTATTTCTATCTAAAATATATTTCAAATGTTAGCGTTATTCGGCAATAATAAAATATTATATTTTATAATGATCATTTTAATCTTGAGAAAAAGAAAAATTAAGAAATATCGAGATATAAAATCATTGTAAGTATCAGGTTTGAGAAACATATCATGTTGAATTTTAGAAGAAAAAAAAGATCCTCATTTGTAATGAGCTCTAATTAAGAAACATCAATTGTATTTTGGTTAATATTCAAATTAATATTCATAATCCGGTTTGTTTCTCGAGAGCTAAAATTACACCTTCAAAAAATTTGATCTCTGTATTTTGGTTTTGGCAGAGAGACTTGACAATTTTTGTGTTATTTAACAAGAACAATTCATGTGAAACTAAATGTTTTATATGCTTGCATTCATCGCAAAGAAAAAATTTGAAAGCCATGATTGGCATCTTTATTAAATACATCAAAAACAATTACGTCCAGCGTACCGTGGTCATGACGTAAATAATTTCTCTTTTTAAATAATTCTCGCATAGTTGAAACTATGTTGCTTATTTTCAAATTCAAAGAAAAACCATCGTGTTTACTTTAGCAAAAGCAAGGGTTATCTGAACGTTAGTTTCTTCTACACGTGACTTACAGTGAAACAATAATCATGGCAAAAAATGTAAGTGAGACGATTCTCAATATGACAAGCACTATGTCGGCAATAGAAACATCTAATGATCAAGGATACATACAAAAAATTACTTACGGTATTCTACAAACATGTCAAATATTATCTTTTATTGCTTACTTTATTGTTGGCTATTATTTTCTCTCTTCGCCTAAAGATTTGAAAAAAACACTGAGTTTTCACGCCATTTTCATTATACTTCTAGTGAATTTCATACAATTATCTTATGACTTATCCGAAGCTCTTCAATATTTGCAGGCAGGCATTGTTAAGCCGTCGACCTATGCAAATTGTATCATTTGGACATTTATTGATTCAATTACATACTATACAAGTCTAATTCTCATGACATGGGCTGCATTCGAAAGACATTTACTCATTTTTTATCCGAATTTATTCAATACGCAACGACGTCGAATTTGTTTCCATTATCTACCAATGGTAATAATCTGTTTGTATACATTATCTTACTATTTTGCCGTTGACTTTCTATATCCTTGTGTTAACGCATTTGATTTTTCGTTATTTATTTGTGGTTTTGTTTGCTATATGAATCTACCGACACCGAATCTCTATTCTATTGAATTGATTTTTCATCAAGTTGTTCCAACAATCTTAATTGGTTTTTTCAGTATTGCACTAGTCGTACGAGTTATACTAGCTCGACAACGACTGCATCAATCCGTTGAATGGCATAGATATCGAAAAATGATCAAACAACTATTCAGTCTTTCTAGCGTGTATTTGATCTTTAGTACACCATTTTCACTAAATCCTATTGCACAAGCTGTTGGACTGCCCATGCCATTTTCATACATTTTCTATGCCAACGTTCTCACTTATTGGACATATGGAATCGCTATTACTTTTCCTTTTATTATTTTCTTCTCATTACCGAACATCAGTAAAAAGTTGAAATTGCTTTGTACTATTCGTGATCCACAACCAATACAAGCACAAGCGTAGAATATGTCAGTGTAAATGTAAATAAGGGACTACTTTTTATTTTAAAATACAATTACTGCACCAAAACTCTCATAAATGTATCGAGAAGATATATATTAAAACTTTGGTACATACTAATCCATTCATAGGATACTGTACCAAAATGCTTGAATGTAGAACGTCAATTTACTCCTGCAGTGGTTATATCAAATGAAAGAAGAAGCTGTGAATTAGCTAACAAGACGCGTTTCGTCCCTGCTAGAGGACTCATCAGTTAGCTTAATCTATTTTAAGTTTCAAATAAATAAATTTCAAATAAAATAAATTAAAATAACTAAATCAAATTCAAAACCAAATATCTGAAATAAAATTCGTTGTTATAAACAAACTTTAATATGAAAATTAAAATCCGTTTATAATAGAATTAAATTTTTTGGCAGTAGTGTGAACGAAAGAAGCTGGTTTGGCTGTTTTCGATCTTGATTAAGGATCTCGTCAGATGGGTTTTTGTATTAAATTTTGGAAAAATTCGAAAGAAAAATTTTAAGCGTAATAGAAAAATTTATAATTCATGATTAAAAATAGAACTTTAGATAAATAAGTAAACAGAATTTAATTTATTATAAGAATTTAATTTGTTTTCATGGAGATAGATTAATTATTATGAATGAGTGTTTGACTAGATTTTATTGGTCTTTTGTTGAGATGAAAAAAAATGTGATTTAGTTTTAGATAGAATATTTTGAATTCTCACTTCTGTTTTATTGAATATTGAGAATGAGGTTAAAGGAAATAATGAGATAAGTATTTTGTTGGGTAGAGAGTGTTTATGAATATAGATTATGATGATGTTTGTTTCGTATATTGTTATCGTTTTTTTTGATTTTGTAGGTCAGGTTGATGATACCTATTCTTTTTGTGGTTATCATCTAGAATGAGAGAATTATTGTATAGTATATAATGTTGTGAAAGGTTATTCTTTTTTGTCATTCATCATACTTGCTTTAGTTTTTTTTTTTTTGATATTGCCTGTCTTGGACGTTTGCAGATTAATTCTTTCATTGTGTTTTTGCGATTAGTGTTCCCAACTATCAGTTTCGTTTCCATTATTGGTGTATTGACGAATGTTTATTGAAAGATACCATGCAAATCTCGCTTACGTGTATTGAATCTTTTCTCGTGTGTATAGTGAATTACAAGTTTATTTTGAAGTTTGTTTGGATTCTTATTCTCTTGAATGGTGAATTATTGTTTTTTATCCGATTCTTCAATCAAACGTTCGTTATCGGTGGTAATTGTTGCAATTCTCATTTCGACTTGAGATTGTTGTCGACTAGGTTGTCCTGAGAATTCAATACGCATTTGTATGAATTGAGTTTCATTGTCAAGAAATGGTAGAAATTATCGAGATGATATATAGTCAGAGAAGAATTTTTGGAATGTCTTGTCGATAAATGAAGAAGGGTAACTATAGAACAAATCTATGAGAATATTAAACATATCAACAATAAACTTACCCATTGTACAAAAATGTTGATTTGATATATCTTCTCTCATCATTGAATGTTTGAAAAGTTGATGAATATTTAATTGCACGTCGAAGACTTGTTTGTACAATGTTTTCGAATACATGTCGAGGATGATCATAAATAAATGGTACAACATAGGGTTCTGCTGCTGGTTTATGATACACAGCTGTTGATAGAGTGCCATTCATATTTGTAAGGAGAACATCAAGAAATGGAAGGCTTCTACCGATTTTATATTCTAATTTAATATTTGGATGCCAAGTATTTGCATTGTCTAATACTTTCTTTAATTCATTTTCCGATTTATTCCATGTCATAAAAACATCATCAATATACCTATTAAAAAGTATTAAAAATGAAATTAGTTATTACTCTAAATTTACTTCTACTTACCGTCCATAATATTCGCCTGCCATATCTTGTCGACGGACAAGTTCTCTTTGCCATTTCCACATGAATATATTTGCTAATGTCAATGTAAATGATGAGCCCATTGCACCACCAAGCACTTGTTGATAAATTTTTTTATCGTAGACAAATACATTTTCTTTCAATACAATTGAAGCTAATAATCTTATTGTTTCTAAAGGAATTCCTTTGACTTTAGTATAACCATGAACTTGAAGAAATCCAACGAGAATATTTAATGCTTCTTCTTGTGGTAACATAGTATATAAATTACGAATATCAAATGTACAAAATAATGTCGTTGATTTAAAAAGACCTTTTCTCATATATTGATGGAGTGCTTGAATTAATGAAGTACCATCAATAATAGTTGTATTTTGACATTCCTTATCAAATATAGGTCGAATAATTTCATCTAAATAATTTGATATATTTGTTGTTGGAGCATGAATAGTATTTTCAATCGGTCGAACTGGTATACCATCCTAAATTTTAGATAGACATATAAAATTAGATTTAAATTGAATAATAATCTTAAGCAATTTCTATCATACCTTATGAGTTTTAGGATTAAAATATAAATGAGCTAATTGACATTTTATTCGATTAGGCATCATTTTATTGCATTGCCATTGAAGAATGAATTTTTTCGCACGAATTTGATTGAGTAAATGAATAACATTATCTTGAATCTTATTAAATGGATTTTCTTTTAATTCAATAAAAGCATTAGTTTATTGAAAAAATTTTTGAGCTTTCTTATCAAATTCTTTTTCTGTACCAATATAAAAATTGTAACCCTTATCAGTGACACGAAGAATTAGACGATGTTTTATAATTTTACGTTGAATCGAAACTACTTTTTTTGCTTGTTTTAATGCTAAGGTTTGATCATGATAAGATAATGGTGAAAAATAAGAAAGATTTAAATCATGAAGTAGTTGATTTGAATATTGTTTAAGAATGGTTGCTGTCATTGGAACAAAATAATGCTCATTTATATGACTTCGAACTTTGTCATAAATACATTTATGATCTTTTTGAATTGCAATTTCTTGTTGATGCCGAGGACGAATAGCACTTTGATTTGTTCGTATACAATATGGACCTAAAACAATAGAAAAAATTAGAACAAAATAAAATTATAATCTATTATTAAAAATAAAATAAAATTTACCAAATGAAAGATATTTCCATTCGTATCGATTAAATACATTGGTAAGTAGATCGAGATATGGCTCAGGCCAAACAACGGCAGTATTTTTAGCGGATGATGAACGTCGACGATTTTTTATTAAGATTCTTCGTAATGATCGTATTTTCATAGAAACTTGCTGTTTTAATTTATTTGTTTGGCAATTCATATGTTGTTGTATTTGTTCGTAAACAGATGAACCATTATTATTGGTATTGTTGAGTAGATGTGATTGCAATTGTAAAAATTCATTTTCATATTGTTGATCATATTCTTGTAATTGAACTTCATATACTTTTAAAAATACATTCAACCATATACGTTTTGCTTCTTGAATAGTTTTATAACGTTTATTTCTAACTTCAATCATCTTTTGATCATTATTCAATGGTGAATAAATCATCGGTGCTATAAATCGTTCTAGTTGATCGAAATTTTTTGGTAAAAATTTGTATAAAACTCGCATTTCTAACATTAAAAGTTCTTCGTAGATGGTTGCCTGTTTTTCTCGTATATTCATCAGTCGGTTGATATATTGATTCTAAAAACGAAATTTTAAATAAGAAGAAAATTATCGATTCTATTAAAAAATAATAAGGTAAACATACTTGATCTACGATGGTAAGATGGTATGCAGAGATGGTTTCAAATAATTGTTTCTCATGAAAATTATCTATAAATTTTTGTAATTGTTTATTATTTCTCATTGATAAATATTTTCGTTGACAATCAACAAATGCTTTTAGATAATGGTCAAGTTGATCCAAAGATAATGTTGTTAATAGATAAGATTGATTTTGATTATTCAGTTGAATATGACATGTATCTATTTCTTTCTTGATAATATTAATATGATCATCCAAATATTGTCGACATATCTGAAAATCATTTGTTTTTGTCATTGTATACAATTGATCCTTGAATTATAATGAAAAACATTATTCTTAAAAATGACATCGAAAAAAATAAGAAACTTACTGGCCAACGATGTTGTTGTATCCCAATATCAGAATAGGATTGCCATAATTGTTGATGAACTTGTAAATAATAATGTTTATCTAATAGATCAAGTCGATGGCAGAGAAATATTTGTTCTTCTTTTTTCTTGAAATTATAATTTATTATGTTAGTCAACATTTGAATAAGTATCATTGGTGAACGTTTCAAATATATTGGTTGTCTAGAATAAAAAAATATCTTATTAACTATAATTTTGTTAAAGTTCAATATAAAGATACTGACCGATAATATTTATAAGCAGTATTGTTCTTGATAGTCATCGTCGTTGCAATATTTAAGTTAATTCTTCTTTTCATCTTTTTCAATTTTGTTTGTACGACTGATATTGAACTTGTTGATTTTGATATTTCTGTATTTGATTTAATATCTTGTACTGATACATCCCTTTTACGTTTCGTAAGATTTCTCATTAAATTTATTTCAGTCGATGTAACATTTTCATGTCCTGGTTTATTGTTGAATTTCATTGTATTTTTCATTGCATTATCAGCTGGATTCTTCTTTTTATGATGAATTAGCTTTCGTTGAAACAGTAGTTTTTCGATTTTTCTTGATTTCATACCTTTTGCACGACACTTTCTTCGAAAACGTTGATCTTTTAGATTCCCATGACATTTTTTCTTTTTTATTGGATTTTGAACAGCAATCACGTTTACATCCATATTCGAAATAATGATCAGTAGAAACAAATTAACAATTAAATCTAAAGATGAAAAACAAAAACAAAACGGGATATTATTATAACTAACTAGTCAATAGATGATAAAAAACAAATGACAAAAAGGAAAAATGTCTTATTTTATTAGAGAATTATTAATTTGATTTCGATTGGAAAGTTTCGCGTTTATGTTTATAAATGCATTGAATACGATCACTAATTTTATTGCAACGTTCATTAATAAGTTCTACGAATGTTGAAGACAATTTTTCATTTTGATTCAATGCATGTTGAGATGCATCCATTTTCTTTATGTTAGCTTCATGTTTCTTTTTATATTCTTCTCGTTGATCTTCAGCTGACTTCAGATATATGTTAAATAAAGTAATTCTCGATTGTATAGCAACTTCTTTAAATTGTTTCATTAATGCTTCTTGAGCGGATAAATTTTGGATAGAATCAATGATCGGATGATGAGATATTGTTGAGGATTCAAATGATTGACTTGGTAAATTGTAATATGCAATTTGTTGTTTTAAAAATTCATATTCTTGTTCTGATGTTTCTTGTTCATATTGACTTTGACAAATTTGTTCCCTCTACTGAAAGAAGGGTATAGCGAAAAGTAGCTAAGTTCGTATGTTCAGCCAATCAGATTATTTCTTCGAAAATCTAACATTCCATTAACATTTCATACTACCCGTGAAGTTTGACGAAAGGTAATCAAGGTCGAGGAATCTGAATCTACTATTAGTTTTTCGAAAAAAAATGTTTTGATTTTTTTACATGTTAAAAAAATAATTTTTTATGAAAAAGGTTGTTTTTTATAAAGTTTGACCAAAGGTAATCGAGGTCGGGGAATCTGAATCTGTTGTTAAGGGTTTTTACGTATTCATTCTATGGTTTTAGAGCTAGATATTGTTTCACAGAAAGTGGTTTTTATATAGCTAATGACACGCTTTCGAGTTCGAAGAATCGAAATCGGTGGTTTGTTATCGAAAATTTTGCATTGTCGAAATTTTATATTCAAGTCAGAGGTACAGTGTTCAAGAGTACGATGGTATGTGTTGATAAATTCCCAGGTTTATCGACCTGATGTTTTTGTAGCATAGAACGATAGATAGGTGAGGTGATGTGATTTGAAAGGAAAAATGAGAGATTCTTTGATGATTTCTACGGTGTCGCTCTCTTTGTTGGCGAATCATATGCTTGGCTTATTTTATGAGAAATGTTGGACTTTACCGCTTTAGTGAGATAGCATATGTCATTAGAAATATACGATGGTCGTTACTTTCATCGTTCTTTAAGGTTTGATGATTAGTCATAAAAACAAGGGGGAAAGTGCTGGCTCCAAGCACCAAAATTTACTATAAAGTGCTGAAGGTGCTGAACAGGTGCCGGAGGTGCTGAATAGGTGCTGAAAGTGTTGAACAGGTGCTGAAGGTGCTGAAAGGTGCTAAAGGTGTTAGTAGTTGTCGAAAAGCTACAGAAAAATAAAGGAGTAGTATACAACAGGATGACTTAATTCTCTGTTAAACTCATTCTTTTCCCACAATCTTGCTGAATACACTAATTCCATAATCAAATCAGAGGTGTGCCACATTAGAACCCTGACCACTAAAAAAC